ATCAACCAAATTTCATAAGTCCATTCACCCATATTTCGGAGTAGCATTGCCCCGGTAGTAAACTGAATAGCCGAATTAGCCCTTTTCCCTCACTTTTCATCCATTAATTCGGTGGTGAACCCTTGAACGGTGGAGGCAAATAAGGCTCAATTTTCCCTCCTCTTTCTATTTAAAATTTCTTGCTCTTTTTCCTTAATGGTTTCGTTCAGTTGCTTAATTTTCTCGTCAAGAGTTTTTATTTGTTCGTTCAGGTTTGTTTTTTCTGCTTCTCACAAATTTCTAAAATCGTCCCTATTTTGTTCTAGTTCTATTATCTGGTATTCTAATTCGTTTATTCTTTCCTTGGCTTGTTTTAAGTCTACTATTGCTTTACTATCTACTGTTTTCCCTTGTCTTATTTTCTCAACCGCTTCTTTTTCTAATCTTTTTTTTACTTCTTTGAAGTCTGCTAATTCTGCTTCTAATTGGATAATTTTCTCTAAAAGTCCATTTTCTCTATCATTTACTGCCTCTTGTAACATAGTTAGTTTTTCTCGTGTTTCTGCTACATATTCTTCAAACTGGTTGTTTTCTTTACTTTTAAAAATTAAATCTCTAATTTCGTCTAGTTCTTTTTTTAATTCTTTTTCACTTCTCCTTTCTTTGAAATTGCTTACCACTGGAAAAAGCCCTAAAACATTATCTAGTAAATCCTCACCAGTTGCTCCTCGTCAATTATATCCATACTCGTAATCTTCTCATTTTGGTTCTCTTCTGAGTAGTTCTTCTGAAAAAGTATCCCTTACATATTTTTCTGCTTCTGAGTAGGAATAATCAAAACGTATTTGAAGTTCTTCTATCCTCTTATCTCTCCATTCTCTAACTTCTCGCTCCCACTTTTCTAAATCTTTTTTGAACTTTCTTTCTTTGTTTGTAAATTTTTCCTTAATCTTGTTAATATTATTATCTCCTTTTTCTGGTTTTATATTAATTAAATCCTCAAAAGTTTTAGAAATATTAATTACTGCTTTTCCCTTACTCCCAGAGGCGACATTACTCCCCTCCGCTTGCGGGTTTAGAATTGGGTTTTTTTCTTCTGTCATAATTCCTATATTATATATTTTAAGGGTGAAAAATACAAAAATAAAAAAGTAATCTTGTATACTGGGATTTTAGACTAAAAATTGAAAAAAAAAAAAAAAAACAAAGTAAAAAGTATGAAAGTTAAAAAGTTAACCAAAAAATACCAAAAATGAGAGTAAAAAAGTAGACTTACAAAACTAATTAAAAAAAGTTGAAAAATATAATAAACTAAAATTAAAAAAATAGAAAATTAAACCATATGAGTAAAAAACCAGAAAACGTAAAATTAACAGTCTCCATTCCTCCAAAATTAGACGCTGTTATTCGTCGCCAAGCCTTTAACGAAAAAATAACTCTTGGAGAGTTAGTAGAAAAATACCGCGAAGCCTGATTAAGAGAAAAGGAACGCGAAAAAGCCCAAAAAGAACAAAAAGAAAGTAAAAAAGATAATTAACAAAGTTAAAAACTATTAATCATGACTAATCTGAAACAAGTAAATAACCAAGATTTCTTAAACGAATTACGAGAGAGAATTCAGGCTAACCAACTAAACCAAGGAGAAATTTCCCAACTATTAGAAAAAGAGGTCTGAAAAAAAGGCTATAAAGAGGCTTCCCAAGACGAAAAAAGGTGAAAAGAAGCTAAAGAGTGAGAAATCGCCCAAATGAGCGATTGAGTAAAAAGAGAAAATGAGCGAGCGGATAATTAAGCGAGGAGAAATTTATTGAGTCAAGTTAGACCCTACTTTTGGCAAAGAAGTAAACAAAACACGTCCCTGCGTGATTATTTCTAATAATCGCCAAAATGAATATAGCCCACTAGTGATTGTCTTACCAATTACTTCCGATTTAGATAGAATTTATCCTTTCGAAGTAGTTTTTTCACTCGGTCAAGGTCAAGCTAAAGTCTTAACCGACCAAGTGCGAAGCATA